AGTCCCAGCTACTCGGAGGCTGAGGCAGGAGGATCGCTTGAGCCCAGGAGTTTGAGGTTGCTGTGAGCTAGGATGACGCCATGGCACTCTAGCTGGGGCAACACAGTGAGACTGTGTCTCAAAAAAAGAAAAAGAATGACAAAATGCGTAATATAGCACAGGTTTTGTAATTCAAAGTACTGGGTTCAAGTCCTGGCTTTTCGAGTTACAAGCTGGTAACTGTGTTACTCCAGGCCTTATTCAGTTTGTTCATGTATAAATTGGTGATAACCATCTTCTATACTTGCCTCATAGGGTTCTTATCAGGATCAGTATTTCTAAAGGGAAATCTCAATGTCATTACTAGACTTTTAAAATCCCAGTAATAACTTCCATTGCCGTCAAGAAAAAAGTCCAATCCTTTAACATTGCCTACGAGGACTTTTGTGGACTCCGCTCAATTCTCCATTATCACCATTCTTCCTAATGATCTATACTCTTTTTCACCTCACAGCCTTTTGCACAAGCTGCTTCCTTTGCCTAGAATGCTCTTCCCCTATACAGTGGCTACTACTAACAGCAGTAATACTAATAGCAATAGCTATAACCTACTAATTCTTACTAGGCATGGGACATTTTATGTACATTATTAGTTTATACTTTATAAAAGAGGTAGTATTTTCATTCCAGTTGTACAAATAAGGCACAGAGAAGTGAAGCAACTTACTCAGAGTAACACAGCTATTAAGATTGGGTTTCAAACCGAGATCTGTCTGAATTCCGTGATGTTCTTAATTCCTGCTACTAAGGTATTAACTTTATCCAGGAAGTCTAACATCTTTAATACTTTCTAATAACCAATAACTTTAAGTTAGCACTTAAGACATTAGTTTATAATCATCTGTGTACTTTACGTACCCCCAGCTGGACAATAAACCATTTGAACTTAGGTAAAACTGCATCTTGTTCACTTTTGCTTCCCCAGCTCCTAGCACAGTTCTTGGTACACATAATGGGTATTAATAAATACCTGCTGAATAATTAAATAAGTGAAAATGCTTTTAAACAGAAAGACATAATACAATTTATTATTTTTGAATTTAGTTAAGCAACATCACCAGGCTTACCAGTTTGTGATCTACAGAATCCACCTTTCCCCCTTTTTGCAGTGTGGTACTTTTGCTTATATCTTTTCTTCTGTGACTTCCTGTTTGCCACAAATCCTTAAATACTGCCATCCCCTCCCCTTTATAACAGAGAGCTGCAGTTTGTGAAAATCTTTTACAGAGAAAAACTAAAATGTTAAAATTATTTTTCTATTCATAGTCATTCTTTAAAATTCCTGAAAACTTAAAAAATATATATGCATTAGAGCAAAACATCAGAGATCGCTGAGGGAAAAACTATCTTTTAAAAATGAATTTCAAATCAAGACTAGGCTGACTGGAGAAAAGCAACCCCAGTACATATTTATAAATGAAACCTTCCTGTGCTGCCCAGGCAGTGTTGTCCCAGGTGGCATCTTATTTTTCATAATAATTTACCATGGGCCTTTAGTAATATAATACAGAGAAAACAGGTGCTGCACGGAGCAGGGGGTATGACTAAATCAACCTTTTTTGGCTCAATTTTTGGACAAAGGGCCCAGAAGTTAATCGGTTTTGTTGTTCTCATCACCTTCAAGGGGGAGAGAAAGGACGGGGTAAGGGGGTGAGCAAAGGAAAGAGGGAGAGGAAGTGTGGCAAACAAATTCTTATTCATATAGAGCGCGGGCCTCGTCCCCAGGTGCGGCCCCTCCAAATGACCGTTTACGTTCTGTCAATTTTCTCTAGTCACTTAAAAAATGACATCTGGTTCACAGGTAAGAGAATATACGAAAAAGTAAGGTATCAGGTCCCGTGGGAACTTCAGCACTCGATCGGCATCCGGGAACGCCACCGGTCCAACCGCCTACAGCTCGCAGATACCCCCGGGGGCTCGACGCCCGGCCAGGTTTCCCCTCGCGCTCCCGCTACCCACAAGCCACCGCGCCTCGGCGCGCACGCGCAGCGGCGACGGCCGTCTCAGGAAGAGGAAAATGGAATAAACAACTCCGAGGAACCAGAGCGCGAGAAAGCGAGTGGAGGCAGAATTTAAAAATAAACTGGCCCCTCCGCCCTCCCCACCCGCTCGCTGCCGCCGCTCCCTCTTCCCCTGCCCGCGCCCTCGAAGTCCCCGTCTGGGCCCGCGCGCCCACCCCGTCGTCCCGCGCGGCCCCTTTAAGAAAAGAGAACGAGAGAGTGAGTGAGAGAGAATCCCAACTCTCCCCCTCTCCTCCCCTCCTTCCTCCCCTCTCTCCTCCCCCCCTCTCCCCGGGCTGCTCCGGCTCCCGCGGCGGGACAGACCCACCCGCCCAGGCTTTTATCCGGCACCGGCAGCGTCTTCCTTCCCTCCCCCGTCTATGGTGGTGGCGGCGGCGGCGGCTCCTCGGGCGGCGGCGGAAGACGAGGCTGCGGCGTTGCCATGAACAGTGGCGGCGGCCTCCCGCCCCCCTCGGCCGCCGCCTCCCCTTCCTCCT